CCTCGAGTACAAGACAACAGAGTTGGATCAAAGATTAAAAAAAAAAAAAAAATGCAAGCCATGTACTGAAAAGGGGACCTCCTCGAGTACAAGACAACAGAGTTGGATCAAAGATTAAGAAAAAAAAAATGCAAGCCATGTACTGAAAAGGGGACCTCCTCGAGTACAAGCAAAAGGAAGCAAACATTCAGCATACACACAAGTATCAGAGACACTTGAACAAAGCTGTGTAGAGCATCAACATGGTTAACACTCTGAGAGACAAACTCTCGAATTGCAACGCGCCACCATCACTCCACATCCCCAAGAACCGCCAAACCTTCCGTCAAACAAACCGCGTTGGCATCGGGTCGTAGGCCTGCGCGCAAGCGCTCAGTCTCACGAGCCGATGCCAAGAGGACCGAACCCGACTTTAGTGCCAGGATTTAAAACCTGCATCATCGTCAATATCCTGTCCGCTTTGTCCTACATGGCCACATTCATACTCACAGTCGTTAACACTTGCCGTTTCGACTCTAGGTACCTTGCTAACAATTTAGTAATACCTACGGACATTGTCAAAGTTACGACTCCTAACGTACCGGCCAATCTCATATTCGAATCTGTCACTCACAGAAAACCTCTGCTTTACTCCCAGCCTACTACTATTCCTCAGTACACGAGATCAAATCCTACCCGAAACATCAAAAACAAAACAGCAGAAAAATTAAGAATCGTAAAAACAGAAACAGAAACAAACAGAAACAAACAAACAACCGGTCCCGGGATCAAGTCCCATACCATCCCTATGTCTGTGAAGAATTCACACTCCAAGGCTGTGGGCGGCACCCTGGTCCGTACAAACTGGACAAACCGAACCTGTCCGAGACAAAAAAAAAAAACTATCCAATACAGACTACTAATCCAAGCTATCTGTCAATCATTTCTCGTTCGTACGTGTCGCCCTTCCGCAATTCGGCGATCATCTTCCATGTGTTTCCCTTATCTCGGGAGAAGTTCCTCATGCCCCGGTCAAAGTAATGACTCGGATAGTCCCTTCGTCGCAGCTCCATCTTCACCAAAATCACTGCTCTGATCATGCCTGAGCCAGGAAATGAATTTGCCTCAATCTGATGCAACGCGCTGACAATTACCGCTAGCTTTGCCCGTTTGCATGTCCATGACCCAAAGTCCTGAAAAGCGCCAAATGTCAAACTGCTCCCATTTACTAGATACGGCTCATTCTTCACCGCCTGATAGCAGCCCAGGTAAGGGTAGTTATCCCTCACGTTCAGCTCACAACCTAGGAATTCCCAGGTTTTCTCGTCATTATCTGTCCTCTTCAGTGTTAGAGCCCGGTCATAGCAATTCTCGAACATTCTCAATATTTCCCGCGCCTTCTTTTCTCCGTCCCTCCTCTTCGCATTGTAAGCCACGAAACATGACATGTCATCTACAAAACGTAGACCAGCCACATACCTGCGTTGGTTTCCCAATGTCGTCAGGAAATCCCATTCCCCTTTGGCACACATCATGCATGCCAATGGTGGGCTGGACGATTTCCCCATTGGGATACCAATCACTTGCCTGAGCACGACCTTACCCGCAACCGTGTAACAGTGCTACAGATCAAACTTAATATAAAGCATCAAAATTTCGAAACTCACGAATGTGTATCCTTCAAGATTCTCTGCCTGACTCATTTTTGCACCTTTTCCTCTTCTTCGTGCGTGAACTCCTGTGATTCCTCTCCTTCCATACCACCATATACACCAGTCGACTGCGCGCACAATCGACTCCTGTGGCAACTTACTAAACATATCCTTTATGTCATAAGAAGCCGTAAGCACCCTCACGTTCTTGCAAGCTCGCTCCATCTTCCCGTTAATCTTCTTCAGACGTGCCTTCATCTGACACACCGCTCTCAGGTTGGATCAAAGATTAAAAAAAAAAAAAAATGCAAGTCATGCTAGGCTACCAGCCGGGCCGCCCGGGTCCCGGGTGGCCAGCCAGTGCAAGGACCAGGGAAGGTCCCAGCACCAAAAAAAAAAAAAAAAGAAACGTATTCCAAAAACTTCGAAAGCAAACTATGTTATGCAGAAAAATAAACTGAACAACTTTTGCCTCAGGGTCGCATAGGTAAGGCTCGCAAGTGGCATTCAGGAGGTCATGGGTTCAATCCCCATTGGCCTCATGACTTCCTGGGCTTACTTGGCACCCGCTACCCAAGAGATAGACCACTGGATCCCCCGATCGGCATCAAGCAGAGTCTGCTATGTTCGTAGGGGAGGGGCCTGAGGGGAGGCACGGGGGATTGGTCCGCTTTATCCCTGGTGCTACCGGCCGTCCCCTGGCCGGAATCCTGCAGGCTCGAGGGGCCGTAAAAACACGGCTCTGGTATGCTACGGGTTTCCCCGTATGCCTATAGGTAGGAGTAGTGGTAGGTAGGTA